GGTGTTCCTTTACACCAACCCCAAAAAGGATACTGAGCCTCAAAGAGCACAAATGGCACCAGCATTTGATTTCGTATGCAAAGGCCTCATGTGCATGGTCCGGCTTTCGCGCCGAGACTTCAAAGGCCATAGTGGCCGATGGAAGAAAACCCACGGCGTTCAGTGGAAGATTGGTGCAATTCGCCAATCAAAGGTGCAGAAGCTGTAGCTGCTTTGCTGAATTTGTCTGCTTCTTTGTTTCTTTCTCCTTTGGGTTGATACCGATGCAGGAAGTCCCCCCCCAAAAAAAAAATGGACGGCAGTTTTGAAGCTCCACTTTCGGTGCGCGACTTAGATTTGTCAAAAAGCAGAAGCTGCGTTGGGGCCGTGCGCAGAATTTGGCCCTCAGCCTCAAACAGCAGAGGCATATCACAGAGGTTGCGACTTCCTTCGTGTCTCGGAGAGACTTTGGGATTCAGAGAATCAGAGAGGCGTGGATTGGGAGAAAGATCCGAAAGGTGCCACCTTGGTTGCTGTTGACCCCTCTGTTGACCCCTCTGTTGACCCTGGTTGCTGTGCCCTTTGTGGGTCCAATTCAACCGGAATAGGCCCAAAGCCCAGGTTCAGGACCCTGAGGAAAGCTGAATCTGGGGACAAAGGACAAATCCGGGAGCTGGTTGGCTCAAGTCTTTTTGGGGGCTGGTACCCATGTTGCTTGGTGGTTTTACAGGGAAACCCACCGGAACACCGAAGCCGTTGCGAACCCTAAAAAAATCGGCCACGCCCAGGCGGATTTTGGACATCCACGGCGAAGCAAACTTCGCCCGAGGGGCGAAACGACATCGAAGCTATCTGCACGGCCGAGCGATTCATTGCCGGAGTTCAGAAGGTTGCCAATGCTGCGCAACCTTGCTTCTCTGACGTACAAAACCCCATCAAAGTGTTTGGTTTCCTTTTACTGTCCCGAAAAAAAGGCATCCAAAGATTCCCCCGTTTTGAGACAGACTCAGCTTCCCTCAAAAAGGGGAGACTTGGATTGGTGGTTGGAGGTGTGGAGGGTTTCCCAGTCACCCAAACCAGGAGTTCAAATCCCCAAACCAATCCAAACCACCAAAGTGGGTAACCGGGGTAACCTGAACCGTATTACACCTGATGGATATGTTGTTCATTCGGTAATCCATCCTAATAACTTATTAATTGATTTAGTTGTTGGTATAATGTCAATTTCACAGGTGTGTATATATAATATTATATATGTACAAATCCAGCATAGACCCCGCACCTCCCTATCAGCACCCCCGCACCCCCGCCCCCCCCCGCCGAAGAGCGCACCAAACAGCAACCCGGCCGTCAATCTTGCAAAATTGCAGCGCGGATTTTCACCAGCAACTCCAACAGAACCCCAATCAGCATCCCAATGCAGCACCTGCACCAGCACCCCGAACTGCATAGCCCCTAGCACACACCGTCAATCTCGCAAGTCACTTTCCCCTCTTTCTTGGAATCTAGAATCCCGACAAATGGCTGTTCGCTACCCGGGGGGAAAAACTCTGCGAACAAGACAAAATCCTCCACATAAATGACTTGTTCGCCCAAGAGAACTGGGTATCTTTGAGGGGCCTGAGGAATTTGCGGGAAATTTACAGAGTCACCCATGCCCCTCTTAAATGGACCGTAGACTCCTGGAAAATTTGACCGAACCCGTAGTTTACTGTCAATTAGAAAGGGACAAAGGGGACTCTCGAAATGTTCAATTTCTGAAAACCAGGGGCCTCTCTCATTCATGTTCATGAAGAGTTTACCAAATTTTGACAGTGGCACACATTTGATGATTCGGTGCTACCGATCAAAGTGCACCAAGCGCTAGGGCACAGGGCGGAACTCCAAACAAAAAGGCGTGCAACACAGGGTTTGCAAAAAAATCCTCTAAATCAGCTCAAGGTGATTTTGGGAGTGGCCCACATGTAGCCTTTTTGAGACTTCTCTCTAGCAAACTACGGGGCACTTCTCCTGTTCAGACCCGGTTTTCGCAGTACAAAGTTGAAACACAGGAACAGACGCCTTCGCCACGGGCATGAAAGCTTGTTCAATGCATAGATCTGCATCCCTTGCAACCACCTTTTTCCGGTTCAACCAGCATTTCCTGGCCTTCTTGGCATCTGGATTTGTCTCATCTGAAATGGCTTCTCCCTTCTTCCCTTTAAAGCAACACCAGAACCTCTAGCTCCCTTCCCGAGACATGAGTCATACTCGAAACCCAATATGAAAATGGTCTACCCAGAACCACGCTTCAAGAATCAAGAAAGGTGTTTATTTCACGCAGCTTGGACTCCCCGCCATCCTTGCCGCACAGATTTCTGAAAATGGTCATGGGTTCCCACACAGATGTCTGGCTGGGCAACCCATGAAACATGGTCCCAAACCCACTGAAACCAAAAAAATCAACCTGGCTGACCTTCACGACGCCCGAAAAATGGTCATGGGTCCCCAAACCCACTGGAACCAAGCCACCCTGGCAAGGGGATTCTCCCCGAACCAAACCACCGATCCCCGCGTTTCGGCTTTGGAGCACGTCCGCTCGCACCCGTCCGGGGCGCTTCAGCAGCAGCGTGGACAGCGCCTGGCAGCCTCGCGCCGCGGAGACGCAGCGGCTGAGCTGCCGCACCTTCTGGGAGAAGTCCTGGAGCCTCGGAATGCCAGGGTCGGTTTCTTTTCTGTTTCTTAGTTTTGTCTTGTTGTTGTTGTTGCTGCTGCTGCTGCTGCTGCTGCTGCTGCTGCTGCTGCTGTTGATGCTGTTGTTGTTGTTGTTGATGCTGTTGCTGTTGCTGTTGCTGTTGCTGTTGCTGTTGCTGTTGCTGTTGCTGTTGCTGTTGCTGTTGCTGTTGCTGTTGCTGTTGCTGTTGCTGTTGCTGTTGCTGTTGCTGTTGCTGTTGCTGTTGCTGTTGCTGTTGCTGTTGCTGTTGCTGTTGCTGTTGCTGTTGCTGTTGCTGTTGTTGTTGTTGTTGTTGTTGCTGCTGCTGCTGCTGCTGCTGCTGCTGCTGCTGTTGTTGTTGTTGTTGTTGTTGTTGTTGTTGTGGTTGTGGTTGTGGTTGTGGTTGTGGTTGTTGTGGTAGTTGGTGTGATTGTTGTGGTGGTGGTTGTTTGTTGTTTGTTGTTTGTTGTTTGTTGTGGTTGTTGTGTTGTTTGTTGTTTGTTGTTTGTTGTTTGTTGTTTGTTGTGTGTTGTTTGTTGTTTGTTGTTTGTTGCTTGTTGTTTGTTGTTTGTTGTTTGTTGTTTGTTGTTTGTTGCTTGTTGTTTGTTGTTTGTTGGTTGTTGTCTGTTTTTGTCGTTTGTTGTTTGTTGATTGTTGTTTGTTGGTTTTTTGGTGTTGCTTGGTGCTTGTTGTTTTTTGCTTGTTGCTTGTTGCTTGTTGCTTGTTGCTTGTTGTTTGTTGTGTCTTGTTTGTTGTTTGTTGTTTCTTGTTTGTTGTTTGTTGTGTGTTGATTGTTTTTGCTTTTTTGTTGTTTGTTGCTTTTTGTTTGTTGGTTGGTGTGTGTTGCTTGTTGTTTGTTGTTTGCTGGTTGTTGTTGTCTTTTGTTTTTTGTTGTTTGTTGTGTGTTGTGTTGTTTGTTGTTTGTTGGTTGTTGTTTGTTGGTTGTTGTTTGTTGGCTGTTGGTTGTTGGTTGTTGGTTGTTGTTTATTGTTTGTTGCTTGACTTTTGTTGCTTCTTGTTTGTTGTTTGTTGGTTGTTGGTTGTTGGTTGTTGGTTGTTGCTTTCTTGCTTGTTCTTGCGTCATTGTTTTTCGTTTTTGTGTTTTCTTTCATTTTCTTTTTCGGAATGGCAAGGGAGGTTCCCCCCCCCCTTTTGGCTTGGGCTCACCCCAAAAAGAGCCAACTAGGTGTTTATCATATGCAGAAACCGTGAAACCCCCAAAGCTTTGGCTTCCACCCCAAAAAAAAACACACAGTTGCTTGTCATATGGAGAAGCTGTTTCCCCCTTTGGCTCCCCTACAAGAATACCAGCCAACAAGGATTGTATCATGAGAAAGTCCCAGACTTGGCACCCTAAATGAAAGCGGTTGCAAATAGGCCCTAGTGTCCACCATACGCAGGAAGGCCAAAATGATTAAAGGGGCATCGAAGCCCTTTTCAGGCTTCTTGTGAAGGGCCCTTTGATTCGTTGCGGCAGAAACGCCGTGAAGCACAGAGCGCCGTGCCTTTGGGGAACTCCAGAGCGTTTCGAAAAGAGTAGGTGCCCCGCTTTTTCCAACTTTGGTGATACAAGTGTCAAACTGGAAGGCGAGAAGATTCCAGCCTACAGCCCCCTTGAGCAGAGTTCGAGACCTATCAACAGCCCTGCACATGGGAAGGGCGCATTCAGCTCCTGAGACTCCAGCTCATCAGTCATGCCTTAGCTCAGACTCAACCATTTGGCCATGGGTCAAAATCCAAATCGTACCCCCAGTGAACATCCTATTCAATCCAACCACTAAAATAGGTTCTATTCACCTACCCCAAAATGGTACCATTGGTTTTGACCCACAGCCATTTCAGAAGTTCTGACGGACCTTTGGCTTCCCACTGCTAGTTTCTTGGAGAGGCCTTGTTTTGCAACACATCTCCCCATCGGGCAGCTTCTTTGACTGACAGGCGAGCAAGGCACGCAAATGTCCTTGAAGACCCAGCAAGCGCTCCATGCTGAACGGCATTGCCACCAGCCTTTCATCAAAGTGCCAGGTGTTTCTTCCGGATTTCAACACCAATCTGTAAAAAACTATGGAGCATCCAGCTTTTGGCAACGATCAGTTGCTCCAGGCCTTTTGTAGAAGCCTTCAACCTTTATATCCCACGAGTACTTCTTCTCCGCATCTTCCGCAAGAAGCCTCTGCTTCTCTTCCTTGGTGATGCTGCTGACCTCGGCAAAGAAGCAAAACACCGGGCCCATAGCAAGACATCCACATGGCGCTCGAAATGGTTGGGAGACAAGGCCTCAGAAGACACTCGGAACCACTTTAAGGGGCCCAGAAATCGGCATGAATGGCTGTGGGTCAAAAATATAAACCCAAAATGGAATCCTGGTAAATGGACACATGGACCAAAAAGCGGTCTCCTGGTTTAATTTTGACCCACACCCGAATGGAGCAGCACACAGGGCTCGCTTAAGCATCACCAGGGACCTTTTTTCCTGGGCCTTTCCGAGAGATTTGTCTCCTGCCTGCTGCACCAGCTGGTTAAAGCGATCCCTTTCGAAGGAAGAATCCTCGATGATGGCCTGCAAAACGCCCAGGCGCTCGTTCGAACTTGACTTTGGGTTCGGCAGCAACTCGCAAAAATGCGGGGGAAGGGATGCTCTTCTTTCCCAGCACCCTGTTAGCTTGCTTTATGCTTTGCATGGACATTCCCGCCCTGCTTCCGTGGCTACTGCTCAAGTGCCGAACCCTCCGGACCACTTGCAAGCGGCCTGGCGCCCAGCTCGCCTTTTTCCAATGCGAGATTGAGATTGGCAAAGAGCCTGGCTGAAATAACCCGCGCAGGCGGAAAGCGACGCGTGATAACTTGGAAGTCGGGATTCGGAGCAATTCCTGGACGGCAAATGGCACCTGGCCAGCTTAAGTACAGCACTCCTGTCCTCAAATGCTTTTGAAAAAGGATGAAAATCGTCGCCCAGCGTCAACCTGAACGGATCGGAGCCTCGGAGGATCACCTGCGCACGGGAAGATGAAAGCTCCCCCCCCCCCGCAAACTTGGTGTGACCCCAAGTTTGGTATGAGTTTCTTTGGATGCAGAAGAACCACTGCACGAAACGCAGAGGTCGCCAAATTTTTCCACATTTCGACTTGGTAGACGTAAACCCAGTGGTTCATTACTTTGCAAGGGAGCACCGCTGGAGTTTCCCCCCCCCCCCACCTGGTGCGGCAAACCTGGAGGTCCACGCGCCTTTCTCCGGTCCGGGTACCCGCAGAGCTCGCTGGCCGAACCAGCTGTGACGAGTCCTCGAACTTCAGCCCGTTCCGTTCGGAAGGAGCCAAAGATGCCTTAGTTCCCCAAGTCTTCCACTCCTTCATGCCAGAAATGGCTGTGGGTCACCAATGGGATCCCATTTTCGGGCAGGTGCACCACCCGGGGATTGAATCGGATGTTTACTGGGAGTACGATTTGGGTTTTGACCCAGGGCCAAATGACTGAAACCAGTGCAGAAAGCCGAATATCTCAGGAACCATATGGCTGGGAAGCGCCGAGATTCACAAGGCTGCTCCTGTGAGCACTCTTCCATTTGCCAAGCAAGCGTCGACATCGGCGCAGTCGAAGCGTTTTCCTTGGGAGTCCGTTTGGAGTCCAAAGATTCCGCGCGCACCGAGTCGTTTTTGCCGCCCCACGCAGCTGGTGTCGGCTGATGCGTGGAGCTCTGGCTCGGCTGAAATGCTAAGCCCAGCAACTCATCTTCACCGTCACAGTCCTCCTCGTCTGACTGCGGCAAGTCTCCCAAATTCACAAAGCCAGTGCCTTTGCGTGAGGCTTTCTGCCGCGACGGAGAGGAGTCTTGCACTTCCTTGCCAAAGCCAACTTGCCGCTTGGACGCAGCTGCTGCTGTCATGCTTGCAGCCGGTTTCTTCTCCTCTTCGTCCTCCTCCTCATCTGACAGCGGCAAGTCTGCCATATTCACAAAGCCAGTGCCCTTGCGCGAGGCTTTCTGCCGCGACGGAGAGGAGTCTTGCACTTCCCTGCCAAAGCCAACTTGCCGCTTGGACGCAGCTGCTGCTGGCATGCTTGCAGCCGGCTTTTCCTGCTCTTCGTCCTCCTCCTCATCTGACAGCGGCAAGTCTGCCATATTCACAAAGCCAGTGCCCTTGCGTGAGGCTTTCTGCCGCGACGGAGAGGAGTCTTGCACTTCCCTGCCAAAGCCAACTTGCCGCTTGGACGCAGCTGCTGCTGGCATGCTTGCAGCCGGCTTTTCCTTCTCTTCGTCCTCCTCCTCATCTGACTGCGGCAAGTCTCCCATATTCACAAAGCCAGTGCCTTTGCGCGAGGCTTTCTGCTGCGACGGGGAGGAGTCTTGCACTTCCCTGCCAAAGCCAACTTGCCGCTTGGACGCAGCTGCTGCTGGCATGCTTGCAGCCGGCTTTTTCTCCTCTTCGTCCTCCTCCTCATCTGACGCCGGCAAGTCTGCCATATTCACAAAGCCAGTGCCTTTGCGCGAGGCTTTCTGCCGCGACGGGGAGGAGTCTTGCACTTCCTTGCCAAAGCCAACTTGCCGCTTGGACGCAGCTGCTGCTGGCATGCTTGCAGCCGTCTTTTCCTGCTCTTCGTCCTCCTCCTCATCTGACAGCGGCAAGTCTGCCATATTCACAAAGCCAGTGCCTTTGCGTGAGGCTTTCTGCCGCGACGGAGAGGAGTCTTGCACTTCCCTGCCAAAGCCAACTTGCCGCTTGGACGCAGCTGCCGCTGGCATGCTTGCAGCCGGCTTCTTCTCTTCCTCCTCCTCCTCATCTGACAGCGGCAAGTCTCCCATATTCACAAAGCCAGTGCCTTTGCGTGTCGCTTTCTGACGCGTGGGAGAGGTGTCTTGCACTTCCCTGCCAAAGCCAACTTGCAGCTTGGACGCAGCTGCTGCTGGCATGCTTGCAGCTGGCTTCTTCTCCTCTTCGTCCTCCTCCTCATCTGACAGCGGCAAGTCTCCCAGATTCACAAAGCCAGTGCCTTTGCGCGAGGCTTTCTGCCGCGACGGGGAGGAGTCTTGCACTTCCTTGCCAAAGCCAACTTGCCGCTTGGACGCAGCTGCTGCTGTCATGCTTGCAGCCGGTTTCTTCTCCTCTTCGTGCTCCTCCTCATCTGACAGCGGCAAGTCTGCCATATTCACAAAGCCAGTGCCTTTGCGTGAGGCTTTCTGACGCGTGGGAGAGATGTCTTGCAGCTCCTTGCCAAAGCCAACTTGCCGCTTGGACGCAGCTGCTGCTGGCATGCTTGCAGCCGGCTTTTCCTGCTCTTCGTCCTCCTCCTCATCTGACAGCGGCAAGTCTGCCATATTCACAAAGCCAGTGCCTTTGCGTGAGGCTTTCTGACGCGTGGGAGAGGTGTCTTGCACCTCCCTGCCAAAGCCAACTTGCCGCTTGGACGCAGCTGCTGCTGGCATGCTTGCAGCCGGCTTTTCCTGCTCTTCGTCCTCCTCCTCATCTGACAGCGGCAAGTCTGCCATATTCACAAAGCCAGTGCCTTTGCGGGAAGCTTTCTGCCGCGACGGAGACGAGTCTTGCACTTCCCTGCCAAAGCCAACTTGCCGCTTGGACGCAGCTGCTGCTGGCATGCTTGCAGCCGGCTTCTTCTCTTCCTCCTCCTCCTCATCTGACAGCGGCAAGTCTCCCATATTCACAAAGCCAGTGCCTTTGCGTGTCGCTTTCTGACGCGTGGGAGAGTTGTCTTGCACTTCCCTGCCAAAGCCAACTTGCCGCTTGGACGCAGCTGCTGCTGGCATGCTTGCAGCTGGCTTCTTCTCCTCTTCGTCCTCCTCCTCATCTGACAGCGGCAAGTCTCCCATATTCACAAAGCCAGTGCCTTTGCGCGAGGCTTTCTGACGCGTGGGAGAGGTGTCTTGCACCTCCTTGCCAAAGCCAACTTGCCGCTTGGACGCAGCTGCTGCTGGCATGCTTGCAGCCGGCTTTTCCTCTTCTTCCTCCTCCTCATCTGACACCGGCAAGTCTGCCATATTCACAAAGCCGGTGCCTTTGCGCGAGGCTTTCTGCTCCGACGGGGAGGAGTCTTGCACTTCCCTGCCAAAGCCAACTTGCCGCTTGGACGCAGCTGCTGCTGGCATGCTTGCAGCCGGCTTTTCCTGCTCTTCGTCCTCCTCCTCATCTGACAGCGGCAAGTCTGCCATATTCACAAAGCCAGTGCCTTTGCGCGAGGCTTTCTGCCGCGACGGGGAGGAGTCTTGCACCTTGCCAAAGCCAACTTGCCGCTTGGACGCAGCTGCTGCTGGCATGCTTGCAGCTGGCTTTTCCTCCTCTTCGTCCTCCTCATCTGACACCGGCAAGTCTGCCGTATTCACAAAGCCAGTGCCTTTTCGCGAGGCTTTCTGCTTCGACGGAGAGTTGTCTTGCACTTCCTTGCCAAAGCCAACTTGCCGCTTGGACGCAGCTGCTGCTGGCATGCTTGCAGCCGGCTTCTTCTCCTCTTCCTCCTCCTCCTCATCTGACAGCGGCAAGTCTGCCATATTCACAAAGCCAGTGCCTTTGCGTGACGCTTTCTGACGCGTGGGAGAGGTGTCTTGCACCTCGTTGCCAAAGCCAACTTGCCGCTTGGACGTAACTGCTGCTGGCATGCTTGCAGCCGGTTTCTTCTCTTCCTCTTCGTCCTCCTCATCTGACAGCGGCAAGTCTGCCGTATTCACAAAGCCAGTGCCTTTTCGCGAGGCTTTCTGCTTCGACGGAGAGTTGTCTTGCACCTCCTTGCCAAAGCCAACTTGCCGGTTGGACGCAGCTGCAGCTGGCATGCTTGCAGCTGGCTTTTCCTCCTCTTGCTCCTCCTCCTCCTCATCTGACAGCGGCAGGTCTCCCATATTCACAAAGCCAGTGCCTTTGCGCGAGGCTTTCTGACGCGTGGGAGAGGTGTCTTGCACCTCCCTGCCAAAGCCAACTTGCCGCTTGGACGCAGCTGCTGCTGGCATGCTTGCAGCCGGCTTTTCCTGCTCTTCGTCCTCCTCCTCATCTGACAGCGGCAAGTCTGCCATATTCACAAAGCCAGTGCCTTTGCGGGAAGCTTTCTGCCGCGACGGAGACGAGTCTTGCACTTCCCTGCCAAAGCCAACTTGCCGCTTGGACGCAGCTGCTGCTGGCATGCTTGCAGCCGGCTTTTCCTGCTCTTCGTCCTCCTCCTCATCTGACACCGGCAAGTCTGCCATATTCACAAAGCCAGTGCCTTTGCGCGAGGCTTTCTGCCGCGACGGGGAGGAGTCTTGCACTTCCTTGCCAAAGCCAACTTGCCGCTTGGACGCAGCTGCTGCTGGCATGCTTGCAGCCGGCTTTTCCTGCTCTTCGTCCTCCTCATCTGACAGCGGCAAGTCTGCCATATTCACAAAGCCAGTGCCTTTGCGCGAGGCTTTCTGCTTCGACGGAGAGTTGTCTTGCACTTCCTTGCCAAAGCCAACTTGCCGCTTGGACGCAGCTGCTGCTGGCATGCTTGCAGCCGGCTTTTCCTCCTCTTCCTCCTCCTCTTCATCTGACAGCGGCAAGTCTGCCATATTCACAAAGCCAGTGCCTTTGCGTGTCGCTTTCTGACGCGTGGGAGAGGAGTCTTGCACCTCCTTGCCAAAGCCAACTTGCCGCTTGGACGCAGCTGCTGCTGGCATGCTTGCAGCTGGCTTTTCCTCCTCTTCGTCCTCCTCCTCATCTGACACCGGCAGGTCTCCCATATTCACAAAGCCAGTGCCTTTGCGCGTCGCTTTCTGACGCGTGGGAGAGGTGTCTTGCACCTCCCTGCCAAAGCCAACTTGCCGCTTGGACGCAGCTGCAGCTGGCATGCTTGCAGCCGGCTTTTCCTGCTCTTCGTCCTCCTCCTCATCTGACAGCGGCAAGTCTGCCATATTCACAAAGCCAGTGCCTTTGCGGGAAGCTTTCTGCCGCGACGGAGACGAGTCTTGCACCTCCCTGCCAAAGCCAACTTGCCGCTTGGACGCAGCTGCTGCTGGCATGCTTGCAGCCGGCTTTTCCTGCTCTTCGTCCTCCTCCTCATCTGACAGCGGCAAGTCTGCCATATTCACAAAGCCAGTGCCTTTGCGTGAGGCTTTCTGACGCGTGGGAGAGGTGTCTTGTACCTCCCTGTTAAAGTTAACTTGTCGCTTGGACGCAGCTGCTGCTGGCATGCTTGCAGCCGGTTTTTTCTCCTCTTCGTTCTCCTCCTCATCTGACAGCGGCAAGTCTCCCATATTCACAAAGCCAGTGCCTTTGCGCGAGGCTTTCTGACGCGTGGGAGAGGTGTCTTGCACTTCTTTGCCAAAGCCAACTTGCCGCTTGGACGCAGCTGCTGCTGGCATTTCTGCAGCCAGCTTTTTCTCCTCCTCGTCCTCCTCCTCCTCATCTGACACCGGCAAGTCTGCCATATTCACAAAGCCAGTGCCTTTGCGCGAGGCTTTCTGCCGCGACGGGGAGGAGTCTTGCACTTCCTTGCCAAAGCCAACTTGCCGCTTGGACGTAGCTGCTGCTGGCATGCTTGCCGCCGGCTTTTTCTCCTCCTCGTCCTCCTCCTCCTCATCTGACAGCGGCAAGTCTGCCACATTCACAAAGCCAGTGCCTTTGCGCGAGGCTTTCTGCCGCGACGGGGAGGAGTCTTGCACTTCCTTGCCAAAGCCAACTTGCCGCTTGGACGTAGCTGCTGCTGGCATGCTTGCCGCCGGCTTTTTCTCCTCCTCGTCCTCCTCCTCCTCCTCATCTGACAGCGGCAAGTCTTCCATATTCACAAAGCCAGTGCCTTTGCGCGAGGCTTTCTGACGCGTGGGAGAGGTGTCTTGCACTTCTTTGCCAAAGCCAACTTGCCGCTTGGACGCAGCTGCTGCTGGCATTTCTGCAGCCAGCTTTTTCTCCTCCTCGTCTTCCTCCTCCTCATCTGACACCGGCAAGTCTGCCATATTCACAAAGCCAGTGCCTTTGCGCGAGGCTTTCTGCCGCGACGGGGAGGAGTCTTGCACTTCCTTGCCAAAGCCAACTTGCCGCTTGGACGTAGCTGCTGCTGGCATGCTTGCCGCCGGCTTTTTCTCCTCCTCGTCCTCCTCCTCCTCCTCATCTGACAGCGGCAAGTCTTCCATATTCACAAAGCCAGTGCCTTTGCGCGAGGCTTTCTGACGCGTGGGAGAGGTGTCTTGCACTTCTTTGCCAAAGCCAACTTGCCGCTTGGATTGGCTGGGTCCTTTCTCATCCCTTGCCTCCTCCTCTTCAGAAGGCGGCAAATCAGACAGGCTCATGATGCCATGCCGGGCATTTCCTTTTGGCGTGGCTTCATTCGCATCTGGACCATCCTGCGTGTGCTAAACTTGGTGAAAGGAAAGCCCGGAAATCAGCTATACCCTTATATGGCCGATGGCCGATGGCTCCCTCAATAGGAATCAAGTAATGGTTACGGATCCTGACCATGACCATCCAAGCGCGAATCCCAAGGAATCGGTCTGGTGGCACATGTCGCTGTGTCTTCTTTCTTGACCCTCCAAAATGGCCAGACGGCTTTCCTCTTGGCTTCCCTTTCAAACCCAGAAAACGCGGGGCTCCCCTCGACTCAGCTGACACACCCTTCGGGCCGTTCGGAAACCCCCCACCTGCCGCTTTGGCGAGGACGCGGAGGCGCTGGGCTCTTCCTCTTCGGAGTCGGGGAGGTCGGCCACCGTCACGAAGCCCGTGCCTCTCCGCTTGGCCTGGGGCGAAAAATTCCATCCTAGGCCCCCCCCTTTGTAGGGGCTGATTCCAACCTTTCTTTTCAACCATCATTCTTTCAAGAACCAGCCGTTTTCGCGGGGTTTCCGGAGGTTTGCTAGAAAGAAGGATCCCTGGAAAGCATGGGGAAGGTAGCCTTAGACCCCTAGCATTCATGAAACGCCTTCCATGTCTGAATGCCCTGCTGAGCATCGTTAGCCCTCCATTTGGCTGGCTCAAAACAAGACAAGAAAAGCCCAACATGGAACCTTGGTAGATCAAGAAGACAGGAAAAACCTGCGGCCTGCCCTTGCTCTTCAACACTATGAGCACCCATTTGAATAATCAAAACCCGGCATTAAAATGGTCTACCCAGAACCATGTAAAGAATTGAAAAGGCGACTGCACCCATTTATGGTTAGGAGTCTCCCTCCCTAACCTTCACCTACCCCGGGGTTTTGAGCCACGTGTTACCGCCTTCGGCACCTCACTGGCGCTGGCAGCACTGACGCCTGAAGCTGCGCCGGCGCTCGACCCGTCGCCGTTCACGTCCAACGCGAAGTCAACGGCGCGCCGGCCCTTCGAAAAATGGACCACCCATGCCGACCCCTCATGAATCAACTTCCCCACTACAGGGGGTTGCGGGGAATCAAAGCCTTTCCAGGCGAAGCCAGATCATTTTCACGGCCATTAAGCAGTGGACATGACTCAAGCGACCTCGCAAATGTTCCCTCCATTTTCTCGCCCGCCTTGGCGCCGGACACATGGGAAGAGGCGGCCGGCTCGGGCCCCGACACCGAAACCGAGGGCCCGGAAGCCTTGCTGCTTCTACACCACGAGAGCTTCCAGGGCCAGCGGCGCTCGCTCGTCTCGGGAGCCACCCTCCTTGGACGACTTCGTTTCGGCCCAGGAAGAACTCCTGCCACCTCCGCTGACGCATGGCACCCCATAAGGCCGCATTGAAGTCTGGCTCAGTCTCTACAACTCTTCCTCTTTCTCTCTTTCTCTCTCTCTCTCTCTCTCGAAATGTGCTCTTCAACTTGGGTGCACATCCGTGTTGTGGATGATGGCTCTGGCTGGATCTCTGTTCTGATCTCTGAGAACTGTGACTGTCGCAGCGGGCTGCCGTCTGGAGCCAAAGTGGAGCAAATGAACTCAAGTTCTCCGCTCGGCACACCCACAGAAGTCAGCGGGGTCCCAAAGCCCATTGGCTGTGGATTCTTCCAACACGCTCCTCAAGCTTTTACATCCTCACGAAGCGAGGTAGCAGGTTAAACCACCAACTCCAGCGTCCATTTGGGGAATCCGCTTAAGCGGAATCGGCTTGACACAAGCACCGCGGTTTTTTTTGTTTTTCCGGTTTCACATTGATCCAAGTGATGCGACTCTCTCGCTGGCCCTCCGGCGCACCTCCAAATCCAGGACACCCAGCTGCCTCAGGAACTTTTCGGCCAGGACTTCTCCATCAGACGCCTCACTGTGAGGCTACGATGTTTCTCTCGCGCTCCATGGAAGCTTGAACCCCCCTCCCCTTTTACTTGCGCGTCAAGATCGGCGACCACAAACACACCATGTCGTGCATGAGAAAAAAACTCGCATCTTAGCCTCATGGAACTGAAAACAAGACTCGTGAGCCATCCTGCTTGTGAAAGAGGGCGCCGAGGATCGCCATTCCTCAGACTCCGAGCTCGGAATCGGTATGTTTTCATTCGGACCGAGTCCCCAAGATTATCCAAAAATGGCCCAAGGGTTGCTGTCCTCGTATCCCTCTCACACCAACCTCAAGGGTACCAACTCAAAAAAAGAAAAGAAAAAAGGAAAGAGGAACGAGCCAACCATATTTCCACCGAGGTGCCCTTTGCTCGGCCAGCCTGATTTTCTGTCTCCTTAGCGAGAATCGCAGCATGAGCTCATGTGGCTAAGCTCGGGGTTCGAGGTGCGCTGAGTGCGGACGTGTCTCCACCCAAAGCTGAGCGCGCACCTCTGCCATGGGTCAAGCTAAGCGACACAATGTGATTGGCAGCGCGCCTTTTCGGTTTCGGGTGACACTTTGATGGCCGCGATCGTGTTCCTGACCACAGGGCGCATGGATTGGCAGTGGAATGCAGGCATCGAAAGAGGGATGCAGGAATGGGGACGGAGGCAAGGAGGGATCGATGCGCAGGAAGGCACGCAGGCAAGAAGGGACAATGGAATAGGCCAAAAGAGGGCCTGAGCCTGAATACGGTGGGCTCCACAAGCTACCCAAGTCCGAACTTCAATGTAGAGCAAGGAAGAGGGAGAAAGAGTTGGAGAGAGAGGAGGAAACGAGAAAGAGGGGGCGAGACAGAGATGAAGAGAGACCGGGAGAAAGAGAGAAAGAAAGAAAGAAAGAAAGAAAAAGAAAGAAAGAAAAAGGAAGAACAAGAAAGCAAGAAAGCAAGAGAGAAAGAGAGCAAGAGGGAAAGAGAGAAGGAAAAAATGCGAGAGAAAAGAGAGAGAAAGAAAAACATGGAGAGAGAAAACCACAAAGAGAGAAAGAGACAAAGAAAGAGAGAGAAAGAGAAAGAGAGAAAGAGAGACAAAGAGAAAGAGAGAAAGAGAGAAAGAGAGAAAGAGAGAAAGAGAGACAAAGACAAAGGAGAGGAAGAGAGAAAGGGGAGAGAGAGAGAGAGAGAATTAAAAAGAAAGGAAAAGAGAAAGAGAGAAAGAGAGGGGAAAGAGAGGGGAAAGAGAGGGGAAAGAGAGGGGAAAGAGAGGGAAAAGAGAGGGGAAAGAGAGGGGAAAGAGAGGGGAAAGAGAGGGGAAAGAGAGGGGAAAGAGAGGGGAAAGAGAGGGGAAAGAGAGGGGAAGGAGAGGGAAAGGCGAGGGAAAATAATAGAGAGAGAGAGAGAGTTACGGAGAGACAGAGAGAGGCAAGGGTGCAGACACAAAAAGCCCTTCAAAACTCATGGAAAAAGACAGACAGGCACGTGTCAAACCTCAAAATGGCACTTGTCATTTCGGTTTCCCTGCAGGCCATAACGACATAATGGAAAGGGTACCGACTCCACACCAGAGAAACTCCCAAGTCCTTCGGGGCATATCTTCAGAAATGGCGAAGACCTCCGCAAGCCTCTCCTCATTGATAGGCACATCCTGCGTTCGGCACGTTGAGGTGTAAATGGTTCCAAGGGGAGCCAAATCCAACCATCCTCTTGGAGTGGGTGCATTTAACGAAAACATGCAAGCATGAGAGCACGTCTTCTGGCCAATGTGGATCCTATCCACCTGATTCATTTGATACTGTGCTGCGGCGCATCTTGTTTCAAGCCCATCTTGCCTTCATGCAAAGTGGCCGAACCCAATAGAGACATGAACCTTGCAAGAAGGGTAGAAAGCCTTCCCTTTATCTAGCTCAGTCTTGCGGCCTGGGAAGTCAACCGCGCTTTGTCTTTGTGACACGCGTGTCGCGCTAACAAGGAACCACACCCTATATGTAGTTGCTTCGTTTTGGCTTCCGTCTCCGACTCTACCAAGCATTGCCGAAACCAATCCTCATATCTCTCATGCCTGGCGAACGCAGCTCGTCCGAGCCGGGCATGTTCTTGAGCACGAGGCCCAATCCACAAACAGGGGCCATGCTGGAGCCAAGGGGCACATGCAGCCCCCGCAAAAATTTCGGGGCTTTCCCCAAGGAAGGACCCAGAAGCGGGAGATGGATCTCACAGGCCGAGGCGACAGAAGAGTTCAGCCCTCGCCAGTGGGATGGGCTCATTGCGACCGCAAGCAATGCAACGACGGCTCCAAGATCGGTGGCCACAGCCTTGGGCTGCCGCATACCGCAGAGCACCCGCGGCCTCACGACGGGTTACCTGGTGAAAGTCGAGCAGCTACGCGCGCCCAAGAGGAGCTGCCAGGATCCTGCTCCTAGCCTTCCTTTCAAGCTTGGAAAAGGTTCATGCCAAAGGGCGTGCAAAGGCTCATCCAGCACTGCAAGCATGAGAAAACGCCCTCAAATGGAGCAGGTCGCTGCACACCAAACAGCTCAGGTAGGCCGAGGCGACATACTGGTTTCCTGTCCGCTCAAAGACCGCACTGGAAAGCATGGGTTACAAGCCAAGCACCACAGCATAACCACCGGCAGAAACACGGAAGCGTCGTGGCCCTGCAGGAGACGAGCACAGACATGTACGGCAGCGTCCAGCACAAAGCTTGCCGGAGCACGCAAACATGTCTTCCCCGTCTCACTTCGATAGTTGACCCCCAGACTGTACCCCAACCCCCCCCCCCCGAGGAATCCTTCTGGTTGTCGATAAACCAACCCAGGCCTTCTCACTTCGTCCTCAAATCAACGCCATCTATTGGGGTGTTACATACGGGGTCTTGGAGCATTGGGAAAAATACCTGCCCTTCCTCCAACTAACATGGCACCTGTGGGGAGGTACCTGGAAGACTCACTTCCTTTTGAGGGAGCCCCTGTCAGTTGCCATGTTAGTTGGAGAAAGGGTATTATTTTCTGGTTTCATGACAATGTCAGATCCGATTCGAATCCGGTCACGCCTCGTTCCTGAAGACAGAGTTCTCCAGCTGCTGGTCAAGCAGCCGCTTCCAGCGTAAAGGCTTGGCTTTGAACTTGCACTTCACTTCAGGACCTGAAACGATGTCGCAAGACCCAGAGCCATGAAAGAAGACGGCCAAACTTGTCTTCCTGCGAATCGCAGGCCCCCTGGCACCGTGACGTTTTATGTTTTTTTTCCCCGGGGGCGCTGCGTGAAGGCCAGGCGCAAACTCTCTCTCTCTCTCTCTCTCTCTCTCTCTCTCTCTTTGTCTCTCTCGAAAAGGAGCCGCTGAAATCTGTCAAGGCACGAGTAGGTGTCGCGGCGAAGCCTGCGCTGCTCTTTTCAGCGACCCCCGCACGACTCACAGGCTCGAAAAATAGAGGAAACCCTATGAATACTGGTTGACAAACTACCTCCCACCTACTGCTGGACTCTTTGCCAGGCAGGTTTCATTCTCATTTGGCTGTGTGTCAAAATGAATGTTACCCCCTGCTTCTGGTGGCGCGCACACACACACACACACATGAGTGGGTGTTTTCCAAGCGGCTCCCAACAGATTCTGAGCCGACACCACCCACCAAGCCGTGCGAGCCCCGCCCCCAGCGCCTGCCGCCTTGGCCTTCGCCTTTGTTTGGAGGGCTTATCAATGTGAACATTCGGAATCAAGCGCCAAAGCTGTGTGCTGGCAAACAACGCACCAGCTCCCGCCTTTCCTGCACCTTTGGGACCCTTCGGCCCTTTGACTCCGCTTGATGTAGCACCTGCGAGGAATACAGCTGCCATTGTGAGAAAACAATCAAGCCCGGCTACTCAACCATCTCACCGCCATGATGTAAGGCGGCTAGCTTCGTGCAAGCCGTGCTTCCTCTTAGGCATGTTGCGATCACAAGCACCTGCAGCGCGCTCATGTCTGCACCTTTTCGGATGGCACGCCGGCACCCTTGGCTTTTTCCATGCTGGCGGAAGCCAACTTGAACCACGTCGTGCCGTCCATGCCCGGGCATTGTCTGATTCACATCCCCAACGCCGCCCAAGCCTTGTACACCCTGTCCCTCCGGGGCTGGACCCGGCTGTTGAGGGCCCTGGCACGCTAATCAAATCTTCAACTCTGCCCATCTCCCACAACATGCAAACGGGAGTGCGAGCTGTACCCAAGCGGCCATCATTGGCTGAAAACAAGCAACGAGCCAGCTCCACCTTTCCTCCGGTGGGACCCTTCCCCTTCGGCCCCTTGACTCCGCTTGACGCTGGCTCGCCTGCGAGAAAAAAAAGCTGTCATTCAAGAAAACGAGGGAGCGTGGTCAATCAACATTCTCGCCACACTGATGCAAATGCGGCCCCTTGCTCTTTGTACGAGCCGCGCTAAACGCAACAGCCTTATGATACCCCTGCTGAGAAATGCGACCAAGAACAAAACGCTTGCCTTTCCTAGTTCACTGTAGACAAGCCAACTATCCAAGGCCCTACAAATATGTCTGTGTCTGTGTTGCTACGATCGTTGTGCCATGCTGTGCCCAGCCTTGCTCAAGCTCGGCAGTCTCTTTGGGGGCTTCTCCCTTGTCAGCCTCATCCACCAGTCCTGCCAGTGACCGTCAGAGAGAAGGCCTTGTTGAAACACGTTGTGCGGCCCATGCCCACTCATTTTCTGATTCGCATCCCCAACGCAGCCCAAGCCTTGTACACCCTGTCCCTCCGGGACTGGTCCGGGCTGTGCAGGACCCTGGCACGCTACTCAAATCTTCAACTCTGCCATCTCCCCCAACATGCAAACGGGAGTGCGAACTGTACCCAAGCGGCCATCATTGGCTGAAAACAAGCAACGAGCCAGCTCCACCTTTCCTCCGGTGGGACCCTTCCCCTTCGGCCCCTTGACTCCGCTGGACGCTGGCTCGCCTGCGAGAAAAACAACTGTCATTCAAGAAAACGAGGGAGCGTGGTCAATCAACATTCTCGCCACACTGATGCAAATGCGGCCCCTTGCTGTTTGTACGAGCCGCGCTAAACGCAACAGCCTTATGATACCCCTGCTGAGAAATGCGACCAAGAACAAAACGCTTGCCTTTCCTAGTTCACTGTAGACAAGCCAACGACCCAAGGCCCTACAAATATGTCTGTGTCTGTGTCGCTACGATCGTTGTGCCATGCTGTGCCCAGCCTTGCTCAAGCTCGGCAGTCTCTTTGGGGGCTTCTCCCTTGTCAGCCTCATCCACCAGTCCTGCCAATGACCGTGAGAGAGAAGGCCTTGTTGAAACACGTCGTGCGGCCCATGCCCACTCATTTTCTGATTCGCATCCCCAACGCAGCCCAAGCCTTGTACACCCTGTCCCTCCGGGACCGGTCCGGGCTGTGCAGGACCCTGGCACGCTACTCAAATCTTCAACTCTGCCATCGGGATTGCGAACTGTACCCAAGCGGCCATCATTGGCTGAAAACCAGCAACGAGGCAGCTCCACCTTTCCTCCGGTGGGACCCTTCCCCGTCGGCCCCTTGACTCCGCTTGACGCTGGCTCGCCTGCGAGAAAAACAACTGTCATTCAAGAAAACGAGGGAGCGTGGTCAATCAACATTCTCGCCACACTGATGCAAATGCGGCCCCTTGCTCTTTGTACGAGCCGCGCTACACGCAACAGCCTTATGATACCCCTGCTGAGAAATGCGACCAAGAACAAAACGCTTGCCTTTCCTAGTTCACTGTAGACAAGCCAACTATCCAAGGCCCTACAAATATGTCTGTGTCTGTGTTGCTACGATCGTTGTGCCATGCTGTGCCCAGCCTTGCTCAAGCTCGGCAGTCTCTTTGGGGGCTTCTCCCTTGTCAGCCTCATCCACCAGTCCTGCCAGTGACCGTCAGAGAGAAGGCCTTGTTGAAACACGTCGTGCGGCCCATGCCCACTCATTTTCTGATTCGCATCCCCAACGCAGCCCAAGCCTTGTACACCCTGTCCCTCCGGGACCGGTCCGGGCTGTGCAGGACCCTGGCACGCTACTCAAATCTTCAACTCTGCCATCGGGATTGCGAACTGTACCCAAGCGGCCATCATTGGCTGAAAACAAGCAACGAGCCAGCTCCACCTTTCCTCCGGTGGGACCCTTCCCCTTCGGCCCCTTGACTCCGCTTGACGCTGGCTCGCCTGCGAGAAAAAAAAGCTGTCATTCAAGAAAACGAGGGAGCGTGGTCAATCAACATTCTCGCCACACTGATGCAAATGCGGCCCCTTGCTCTTTGTACGAGCCGCGCTAAACGCAACAGCCTTATGATACCCCTGCTGAGAAATGCGACCAAGAACAAAACGCTTGCCTTTCCTAGTTCACTGTAGACAAGCCAACTATCCAAGGCCCTACAAATATGTCTGTGTCTGTGTTGCTACGATCGTTGTGCCATGCTGTGCCCAGCCTTGCTCAAGCTCGGCAGTCTCTTTGGGGGCTTCTCCCTTGTCAGCCTCATCCACCAGTCCTGCCAGTGACCGTCAGAGAGAAGGCCTTGTTGAAACACGTCGTGCGGCCCATGCCCACTCATTTTCTGATTCGCATCCCCAACGCAGCCCAAGCCTTGTACACCCTGTCCCTCCGGGACCGGTCCGGGCTGTGCAGGACCCTGGCACGCTACTCAAATCTTCAACTCTGCCATCGGGATTGCGAACTGTACCCAAGCGGCCATCATTGGCTCGAAACAAGCAACCAGCCAGCTCCACCTTTCCTCCACCTTTAGGACCGACTCCGCTTGATGCTGGCTCACCTGCGAGAAAAACAATTGTCATTCAAGAAAACGAGGGAGCCTAGTCAATCCTGGCCTCTTGCCCTGTACAAGCCCTGCTTCATCTTGCTTGTGTCATCGTGCGCAGAAAGGCAAGCAGTAAAGTGTAGCCAACTGCAAGTCCTCATCCCCCAGGTGGTGAGTTGTCACAAATATGAGCCCTTTGTTCGACACCTTTTAAATCAAACCATGGCCCAAAAAGGGTACTCATTCTTGACATACCAGGTCACCAAGGCTGCCCTGCTCGGCACCTTCTTGTGCCTGCAAGCTGTGGACACGTGGACACGAGCCTGTGGTGGCCGCTAGCCAGCCCACGCTGGGTGTGGGTGTTCCTTCTAGGTGTCCTTTAAAACCACACAAAAATGGGGCAGAGACTCAAAACAAGACACATCCAGCATCAGAGCACCAGGGCTAGAAGCATGCACGCATCAGGCTGGGCATCGTATTCGGTTGAGATAGGTTGGATCTGCTTGACCTCGTTGCTTGGTGCTTGGAAACCTCTCTCGGACTCGAGGCCCTGCGGGCAAGAGAAACGAGCCCGGCCTGCAGCGCTGTGTCTGGTCTACCCGGCCTCGTCTGCCAATGACATCCGGGAAAGGGGGGGAGTTCTCAAAATGGCTGACTGTCGAACCATCCGGTTTCTGTGTTTAGGGAAAGGAAAGGAACCCGCCCTTCACTTTTTGGGGCGACCCCCCCCCCTCCCGCCCGAGCTTCAACAAAACACGTCCATGCGCGCGCAAGGTGCTGGGCACCAGGCTGTGACTGCGAAGGCTGCGGAGGGGCGGAGTCCTCCCGTCCCTCGGTTCGGAGACAGCCCGAACCCCGTTTCTCGGGAACCTCCATCGGCCCGTGCCGGGCCTTCCCAGCCGCCAGCCTGAGCGATCCGAGCCCCGGGAGCGCTCCTTTGTTTCCCCCGCTTCAAGAGAAGACAGCAATTCGTCTCACAAAAACCCTGGGATCGCTGGGTGCACCTGATCCTCGCGGGCGGGGGGATCACTTCGGTCGCAGTTTTTGGATCACTTTGGTCGCAGCTGAAATCCACTCACTTTGGTCGTAGTTTGAGCATTTGCGGATCACTTCTGTCGCAATTTTTGGATCACTTCAGGCGCAGTGGAAGGTAGCTTTTTGAGCACTAACAACAGGACACACGCAAAGGGTGTTGCCTCTCAAACACCTAACAACAACACATGCCGCGTGGGGTGGGGTCGACAAGGATGTTGCCTCTCAAACACCTAACAACAAGACATGCCGGGCGGGGTGGGGTCGACAAGGATGTTGCCTCTCAAACACCTACCAGCAAGACATGCCGGGCGGGGTGGGGTCGACAAGGATGTTGCCTCTCAAACACCTAACAACAAGACATGCCGGGCGGGGTGGGGTCGACAAGGATGTTGCCTCTCAAACACTTAACAACAAGACATGCCGGGCGGGGTGGGGTCGACAAGGATGTTGCCTCTCAAACACCTAACAACAAGACATGCCGGGCGGGGTGGGGTCGACAAGGATGTTGCCTCTCAAACACCTAACAACAAGACATGCCGGGTGGGGTGGGGTCAAGGATGTTGCCTCTCAAACACCATAGTCAACGGCGAAGAAACTAGGACCGAAGCGAGTAAGGAAACTAGGACCGAAGCGAGATGAAAACTAGGACCGAAGCGAGCCAGCAACTAGGACCGAAGCGAACCCGCGACCTCCTCGCGCGCGTCTGAGAGCCATCCACTTGAAAAACTTGCCAACGAACCAAGTGCCACCTCCATCTGACATGCCCCGGCAGAACCAGAAGTGGCCGCACCTCAGGCTCTCCAGGGGCTGGAAGCCTTCGTCCCAAGTCCTCGGGTCCAAGGAGTTCCTTTGGAACTACGCTGTACGCCGGACACCAAACTGAGAAACACCAAACGCCAGGGAGAACCCCCCCCCCACGGAGAACCCCCCCAGTTCACAGCAGTGCTTCCCCTAAAGAAATCAGAAAACTGGAGGTCGTCAACGCCAGGCAGCGCCCTTGCGTTTGCGCAAAACACCTTAAGGACTCGCCTCGCCCCCTTTTGAGCAGCCTCTGGTCCCAAAACACCCTTGCCTTTTCCAAGGCGATCAAGATTTACCTAGGCTTTACTCTGTAAACCCAATTCAACCATTGCGCCGCCGTTTTTTTCGGCCACTAGACATCGGCGTTTCGACGTGACGCCAAGCTGAAACCCAGCTTTCCCGCCATCGAGGCGCCCGTCTTGGTAGAAGAGCACGAGCTTCGGCAAGGATTGCACGTGGAACCTGGCAACGGAGAACCGCCCGGTCTGGCGGCGGCAGAAAACACCACGAGTGTTGTCACACCATGGGTGGTGTCTCAAGATGGAGAGCCCCTGAAATGGTTGGCTTTGCACTGATCCCCTGCAACCGGACTGGGATTCGAATCACCGGGCCTTTGCATCAATTCCACTCGCGCAGCTTCGTCTCTGAAGGGGACGACTCTCCAGGGCACGCCTGCAACTTCCCGGTCGAAGTCCTGGCAGCCAGCGGCCTACCAATGGCATTGATATGCCAAGGAACATGCTGCTGCGTGAGCTGATCGCAAACTCTTTGGCACCACACACTGGTTTGCTGTGGCATTCTGTGCTCGCGTGCTTCGTAAAAAACCAAACAAGCAAGCAACAAACAACATGACCAACAGGCGCAGCCAGTCGCAACACAGCAAGCAAGCAAGCAAGCAAGCAAGCAAGCAAGCAAGCAAGCAAGCAAGCACGCACGCACGCACGCACGCACGCACGCACGCACGCACGCACGCAAGCAAGCAAGCAAGCAAGCAAGCAAGCAAGCAAGCAAGCAAGCAAGCAAGAAGCGCCTCGAGCATGCTTCTTGTTATGCAAGTCATGGTGCGAGCTCCTTGCATTCCGAGCTAAAGTTCAAGAAACCGCTGGAACGTTCTTGACCATGTTGAACAAAATACATGTAAGACATGTTGCTATCAATACAGCAGAAGGACATAACCATCTTCGCACCAGCTTTTGGATTCTCTATGACTATTGGTTGATAAACCTTTGCACCACCAACCATCTTGTACCTGGCGGGGATTTGTGCATCCACACTTCTCCAGCCCTCAAGTCTTTTGACCGCAAGGCTTCAGCCCGCGTAGCAGCGCCCGCCAGAACCCCTCCTCTTGCCGCGTGTCAGCTGGCACCTGCCTGAAAGTCCAATCAACGGGCAAAAAAAAAACGCGCTCGGCGAGTCTGCAACCCAGGCGCAGCACCTCGAACTTGAGGCTCGCTTTGTAGGCCTGGTAGTTTGCTCGCAGCTCTGCGGAAAGCCTCGCTGCGGTCTTGTTGGCAACTTTATTTATTAAAAAAAAAAAAAAAAATGAAAAGGAAAAGCGTCTTTTTCTCGCGCCCGGCGGCTGGCTGGGCAGCAGGAGCTTGGCAGAAAAGAAGATGCCCAAAGGCCCTCGAGCACCCATCAACTCACACAGAAAGGACAGCAACTGGAGGGAAAATGGACAGTCCAAGCTCTGAAGCGTTGCCCTGCCTTCTGTCATCCTCCTCAGCGCGTCTGAGCTGTAGTCACCTTCTCTGGGCTGAGAGAGCCCGTACGTAGGGGCATCCACCAAAAAAAAAAGGATTCGGGAGAAGATGCGCAGACTCCAAGCTCTCTGATTTCTGCCCGGCCTTCCGCCCTGTGATCTTCATCCTTGGCCGCGTGCTGCTTCAACTGTTGCATGGAAATGAGTGGTGACGAAACAACGCAAATGACACGAGAAACACCGCGGAAACACCCTGTACTTCCATTGCTGGAAAAGGGTGCCCTGCAAATCAACGGAAGCAACCAGAAACCACAAGGTCCCCCAAACGGACTCCGTTCCTCCGCAAATGTCAGGAATTGGGTGTTCGTCCCTGCTCTTTGGTGTGGAACCAGAAAGTCGTGGCTTTCGCGCCTCCGACTGAGTCGGCTCCGACTCGGACTCGGGATTCTCGCCCTGGCTCGTGGCTCTGTCACTGCAGTTGCGTGGCGCGCGTTTTTTTCGAGGCTGCACCTTGTTCCTTGGAAGACACCAAAAGGAGAGCCCACCAGTTTGGGGGGTCCCCGATTTTAAGGCACTCCCAGTTCTTTTCTAATCGTTTCGAAACCGCTGTCAGCTCAGATCTTGGGGAGTCATGTCCATTCACCCTGTTCGGGTGTGCGCCACAATAGGAGGGAAGCCCCAAAATTGTGGCTTTCCTTTTGGCCTCCCTTGAAACCAATGTGAAAAAACACACGCGCACACACACACACACAATTTGTCTCGCCTTGCGCGCACGTCTGTGCCCCGCCTCCATTGCATCCCACCACTCTCCTCTGGAGACCCGCGAATCCATTTCAGGGCACTCGTCCTGACATCCACACACCGAATCCT